GCAGAATGAAAAAAAGGAAGGTGACGACTAAAGAGTAAATAGAGAAAAAGTGAAAACCCTATTTATAGGGCTCAAAGGGAATTTAAAGAGCCGTCGCGCTCACATCAGGAACACAAATTTTGCATCACATCACAAGAAAAAAAAAATTAAAATATGAAAATACATGAAATGTAATTATTTATATTCATTCAGATAAGAGAAATTTTACAACCGACTCGTCGACCGCTTGTTGTAAAACCAACCCTGGTCTCAACAGTTCCTTATACAAGACTCAACCACCTAACTTAAATCTATCAACACCATCGGCTTCAGCTTGGAATCGAGAGACCGAGCAAGCCTCCCACAAATCTGCCAGGTCCATTCACAGATTCACAACCTCCATTCGGACAATATCTGCTTCGGTCCGACAGTCCGCCACCTCAATTTGGCAGTTAAGAAGCTCGATCGACAGCTTCTCAGAGAGAGCGTCAAGCTGCACCTTCAGCTCCTTTATGCGAGCTTCCTACGGGTTCTCAGCCTCCTTCCGAGCATTAGATTCGTGAGCAAAGAAATTCACCGTCTCATTCATGTAGCAAACCACGGAGTCGATCGACTCTTTCTTGTCAATCGGCGAAGAATTCTCCACGGTCTTCCGATAAGTTGGCGCTCGACCTTCAACAGCCTCCGGTGAAATTGGAGACACGAATCAAGTCAGTTGCATAGTAAAAAAGAATCAGATTAAGCAAAGCAAAGTCAATCCAATCCAATAAATCACGTAATTGAACTCCTCATACCAAGGAGTCGATCCAGCTCAGACCAGAGTAAAATGAGAAACTCTCACCAGACAGGTAGACTGTCTGCAGCCCTCATCTCTCCAATCTGAGAAGGATAGGTTGTGCCCTTATTCCCTGGTGGTACACCCTCAGAGGTTTTTCGAGCGACTTTGTCCTTTTGACCAATGGAACGGACTTAGTCGGTGCTATAGCAAGAGAAGTGCTTCGACCATTGTCCGACTTCCGATAAAACAGGGAAACATCGTCAGCTCGTCCTTATCATCGTCCTCGTGTGCACCCCAAGGTCCCTTCTTAAAGGCTGGTTGCTTCAATCGCTTCTTCATGGCAAGCTTGCTACCCTTAGGATGTTTTCCTCTGTCACCGACCGCTCCACTCTCGGGATGACGATGCTTCGCGAGAATGCTCGAAGGACGGATCTTATCATCCGGAAGTCCAAAGCCATCATCAGGATGTCCTCAGATGGATCGTACTGAACCTTTTTGTCATTTGCCATGAGAGAGCCCTATACCAAGAATGACCAAGAGTTCTTATTATGTGCGGACACCGCATTCAACTATGCTTATGGTGTCCAATGAAAAGATGACAACTCGATCAGTGGGCCCCACAACTTAAAAAATTAAATTGAGACATGCTTACGGCGCAACCCGGCCCGAATCTGGTCTGAAACAGGTAAAAGTTAACAGCGCGCCTGAAAAAAAGTTTATTTCATCGGAAAACCAAACGACGCCCGAGCGAGGAGAGCACGGAGCATCTTCATTCGATCTTCATTTTATCTTCTAGGGTTTTTGAATTAGATAAACTTAGGATTTTAGAGTTGCTGTTGGAAACCGAAGAGAGCCCAGTGAGAATGAAAACGGAAGAGCCCTTGATAATGGAAACCGAAGAGGAATCGACAATGCAGGCCGAGAAACGCAAGAAAAAGGAAAGGAAAGAGCGAGAAAAAAAGGAAATCCAAGAGGGTTCATCCAGATAATTTTTATTTTGGTATTTTTGAGTTGTACACATGTACACACAATATTACCTTTAAAAATCAACATTAAACCGCAATAAAACTTATTATTTAATTATAATAAAAAATCAATCACTATTTAACAATACCTTAAATCTTACCTGAGTATTACAGAAATAATGTTATAATAATAACAGAATACAACGAAGAAATTACCAGAATATAATTTTAATTCTACACCAGAATATAACATTAATAATATTAATAACTGAATACAACCGAAAAACTTCTATAATATAACCTAAATACTAAACCTGAGTAACACTAGAATATAACCTTAGCCTAAATAATATTACCTGAGTATTACAGAGATAATACTATAATAATAACAGAATACAACGAAAAAACTACCAGAATATAATCTTAATACTACACCGGAATATAACCTTGATAATATTAATACCTGAATACAACGGAAAAACTTCTATAATATAACCTAAGTACTAAACCTAAGTACCAAAAATACAACAGCAATACAACCAAAATAATATAACTGAAATACTACAATGTTAGAATACAACGTAAGTGTTACTATAATATAACCTAAATAATACTATACGAGATCACATAATATTGCTTAAATATTACCATAGTATTCCCGTAATAAAACATTTCTACATAACCCCTTATATTTTTTGCATTATTTTGTTTGATGTAGGTTTGTGAACTCAAGGTCCATGAGTTATAGATGTCGAACATCTGTAGTTGGAGATGCACTTGATAAGGTCAGACTTACTGTATCTGACGAGATGACGAATGAGCCGAAAACCTTGAATGATGATCAGTTCTTTGCACTTCCATCTTATCCCCAAGACAATGTGATCACACTTCAAATATTGCAATGTTGGATACATGAAAAAATGGTTTTCAAACTGGAAGGGAAAGATCTGAGTATTAATCCTGATGAAGTTGTCCTTTTGATTGACATGCCAAAAGTTCCAAAATGGAAGAAAGTTCCATCCTGTGGCGTTGATGCCCGTCAAATGAAGGCTGATCTGTTGAACTTCGGAACTGGGGAGTCTTCTGCCCCTTTTAATCAATTGTATATAAACTATTTGTTATCAAATTTATTTTTTTCCGTCTAGTAATTTCACTGTATCTAAAGGACTTTACATCTTTGGAGAGAATGTAAATACGTTTGCTTCATTTAATTGGCTCGCTGCGCTATATGTGAATATCTTATTGAGCAAATAAATGTGGTTGTCATCAAAATAAGGCGGAACCGGCCTCTGGGATATATAAATGGTTTTTTTTTTGCTAACGGTAAGTACATCGTATTAAAGTCAAATGCTATTTATTTCTTTGTGTAAAGCTGAATATGCCTTTTTTTTCACACAGCTCTGGTTTTATGAGCACATTTCTTTGATTACTCCTACGAATCCTGAGGCTAGACCTCGAATGTTGAGATGGCCAACAACTGTAAGCTTGAGCTCATCCCAACTTGATATAGCTTTTAAGATGCTGACTCCTGATCAAACAAGTTACATATATATTTAATTTCCAATTAAATTATTATGTTATTTTGAAACTATTAATGATCAAAGCGTTTCTTTTTGAAATTACTTGTAGGTTCATGATAAATTTTTGGATCTGAAAGAGGATGAGCTCAATCTGTTATCCAATCCAGATGAAGGATTACCTGGTCCAGTTCCGGTGACGCAAGTCCAAGGTAGACCAGAGGCACCTGTATCATTTGATATGGGGTCAGTTGATTCAGGGGACATTGCCCCTGAGTCATTGTATATCACAACAAATAAAAGCATGGAATCAATAGTCGAGCTGCTCAAAGGCCAAGAGAAATGGTTCACTGAATTTCAGGGAACCTTGAATACAATAACTGTTTGAGTGTCGAATTTGTAGGGGCAAATGTCGGTGCTGTAACATAAGTTTGATAAATTTGAAAATATTCCAACTAATAAAGGCGAAGAGATCGGAGTAGATGATCCCCAGCTAGCCTCCCATCATGGGTGGAGTCCTCATGATTTTGTTACCCAACATTCAGCTTCTGTTGATGTTAGCCAGCATACAGCTTCTGTTGGAGAAGAGGGAATCCAATCGTCGAGCAGAAGAAAGAAGACAGTGAGTTCACCTTTCACTGCCTTCGAACTGAAGAGACGAAAAACAACAGGTGAAGTTGATGAGGCGATGATACCCGAGGAGGATGTTGTTGTACATACCACCACCATAGTAGAAGAACGACAAATTACTAAAGAACCAATAATAGACCATGTAGCAGAGATGGGTCTTCAAATAACTGTATTTCCCGGTGTACATACGAACCCCAATGTAGAGGGACAACATAGAGTTGAAGATGAAGAAGTCGAAGGATCACCTGTCTTAGCACTAACAACTCAAGGAGATCAACCAGATGTTGTTAATGTGTTATTTAGAATTTCTTTTTGATACATTGTTTTATATCATCTAAATTACTTGTATTTCAGATGAGCAGGTGATCTGACATAAATTTTTTTCTTGTAGCCTCTTCCAGCTGTCCCCCAGATTGACTATCCCGGCAGATCTATGGTATCAGCTAAAACACAGACGGTGATCGATCAAGTCATGGCAAAATACATCAATGAGTGAGTGAATCTGTGTCTTTTATAATGAACGTTTTTTAGGATTAAGTGATGAAGACAACTTCTTTATTACATTTAGAATTTGTACTATTATGCATGAGTGATATTATGTTGCATTTGAAAGACATTTTTATAGATCGTCGGGCAATGATAGAGTTATTGTGCAATGACATAATTGCAAATGACCATGTCGACGCTCAAGCGATGATTTTGAACAATAAGAGAAATGCAAATCCATCTCTTTTTAGGCCTTACCTTTATGTATCACCACTATACTGGGTAAGACCGCATCAAAATATCTAAACACCCATATTTAATTATATTAAGAATTTCAACAACAATATGAATGTGCTAACACTTTGTTTTATTATACAGGCGTATCATAAAATGGGTAACCCCACATCATTTCTGGGTCATATCACCAAAGAAGCAGTTCTGAAAGTTGATATCATTATGATTCTTGTTCTGAATAACCAACACTGGGTTTTATTGTTCGTTGATCTGGGTGAGGGGAAGTGGAAAATGTATGAATCATTACCCAACCAGATGCACAAAGTCGTGTGCAACGACGTTGTAAGTTACTCTCAATCGTTAAAGCTATTATTTCTGCAATTTTCACCAGTTTAGTCCATTCACTGATCACTATCTAACTGCGTAGATCAAACGTTTTGGCTTTGATGTCGAAGCTTCTTTCAGGGCTAAACCCGAGAAATCAAAAATTTCACTGCTTAGAGGTGTTCCCGTACAAACCAACAGTGTTGATTGTGGAATGTTTGTCTGTAAATTTATGCAAAAATTAGTACAAAGCTATA